GGAACAACTTAAATGTCTATCAATAAAGAGATGAATAAATAAATTATGGCCTGTCACAAACAGCATTCAATTCAGCAATGAAAAAGGATGATTGATTCATACACCAAATGAATGAATCTACACATTAAGTTAAGCAAAAGTCATTAGTCAGTAGATGAAACACACCATACTATTTTAATCACATAATCTTCAAGAATAAATGAAATACCTATATGAGACAGTAATTGTCTGAGTTTGTATGGGATATCACTCAACTGCATAAAGGCACAAGGAAAATCTCTGGAATAAATGGAATGGTTCACATCCTATCTTGGGCAGGAGTCATGTGGGCATATATAGCTAATCAACTCATCATTCCATATCCATCATGTTATTATATGTAAATTATACAGTAATTTAAAATAAGCATCCCATTTCTAAATGCATGCCAGTTTTCATCAGGTAGAAAGAGGCAAACACTTTTAGAAAGAGTAGTAAACTGAAGAATATGAACACCTGTGTGGATCGCTATCTTCCACTGTAACCTGTACTTTCCCAAAGGCCAGAGCTGAGAGAAAGTGTGCTTGAAAGGTCACATAAAACATAAACAAATAAACAAAAAGCAAAAGTTTGTGCCATAAACTTAGAAATTTCATTAATAGTCTTAACCACTATTATTTTCTTTATGAATGGTTGTTAGCCACTCCATTATACAGTATATTTGGACATAAATATTTGGTTATATTTGATTTAAAAGCGCTTAAAACTTGGGTTATAGCTTGCTGGTAAACACTTATTTCCATTTGTAATGTTAAACTTCTAAGCTCTATCTTAATTGTTCTTAGCACATCTACTGAAGTAAAAGTATCCCGTGGGGGTTAGAGTGAAGGAGAGCTTACCAGCAGGGTACGCGTTACCGCACTGAAGCAGAGCCTGGAGAACGGAAAGATCTCTAGCATCTTCTGGAGTCCACTAGACCCCGGCTGCCTCTTCAGAGTGGCCACAATGACAACACACTGAAATACTTACACACTTAAACTTTGTAAATGAAAAGAAGCGTGCTTGGAGCACTTGTAGAGCTTTAGTGGCGGATTATCCCAGTGGCCTTCTGTCTCCCACCACACCATGACTTTCCCTGATAACAGACCTTGTATCTTAACTATTTAGACTGAATGTTCTGAAAAAGTCAAGGCAGAAATCACAGACAAAGAAAACTGCCTAATTTGTTCTAGGGACTAATCTGTACTAACGCTAATCTACCTGGGGCAGAGAACACAGGAAGCAATAAATTTGTAGCCAGTGTTGATACGGATGATTTTCTGTAAGGCTCTAGTGGGATGTCATAGCAGTAACTGGAGGTTGTAAGTGTTGTAGGCTATAGCTCCTCAGCCAGGGATAGTCCAGTGTCCACACCATATTTTATATTATGAACTAATTTGGTGGCAGATAGAGCAAAGGATTATTTATCCCTAGAGCAAAAAGAAGGTCAATGTGTACTTCTGCAAAATAGAGCAGAAATTCAAAATTCAACCACAGGCAAAAGCAATATTCTGATAATCAAATGCTAGCTGATTGGAGAGCCTTCCTCAGCCAGGGCTGAAGAAACTTTGCCCAGTATCTCCCAACACCCCAACTTGCATGGGAAAGAGGAGAGAAACAAATTTTATACTGATATCCTTTGCCACAGTTTCTCCTTGCTCAGAAGTTTCCACAGTAATACGAAAGACTCCACTTCCCTGCTTGTCCCTGGGGCCAAATATCATAAATAACATTGTGAGAAATGCATCAGTTTAAGTTTCAGATCCCAGGAGATTTTACATGCTGCACATGACCAGAACAAAGCCCCAGGAAATCAACTGCTTCTGCCTCAGGTTTTAAACCCTACCATGAAGCAGGTTATTTGAGCAGACCATCCTGAAAAGGTATTTTTTTAAATATATATAACGAAGGATGAACCAAATTGTTATGATATCTTGATAATGATGTTGACACATCCTGTCTTCCTCCTCCACCCTTAGCCTACCAGTACCTGTCTGTCTGTCCCAGAGGGCAGTGTCACCACACAGGGGACTATGAAGCATGTGATGGAGGAGCAGTAATTCTGAAGCAACAGTTAGACTCCTCACATCTGTTAGAAAGATTATTTCCATGGAAGCCCCCGAGATAATCAATCTCAGGTCCAGTTGTTCCAAAGACTATAAGGAGAACAGCTAAGTGACAGTGTGATACATGCATTGTGTGTACTGAGAAAATGTCACCTTTTCTCTCTGATAGCATCTAACACAAGGATATTTACAAGGCAACATAAAGTAGTGAACTACCACATTCATCTAACTCTTAGCTCTGAACAATGATAAACTTCATAGGAAGAACCAAACAACCGGGTCATTGGCCTCAGACAACTAGCATTTAACCAATAAAAAGATCTAATTATTCTGGGTCAATATGCTTAAAGACTTGCTGGAATCAAAAAGTTAAAGTTTATGAGTAAAATCAGCAATCAGACACAAATTGAGCCTCATTCATTTTGCTTTAGAAGTATTAGGATCTAAAGCTCTTAGGTTGTCAAATACTTAGAACTTGTACTTTAAGCCACCTACTTCCTCTCCCCACCCCAAAGACAACCTGAAGAGATGGGGAAAGAAATGTAAGATTGCATGGATCCACGGGGACTATTAGAATATCAATGAACTGTGTTTCTGTTTACTCTTCCATCACCAGCTATTTTAAGGAACAAGTTATGCTTTAATTAACATTTCTTGAAGGAGAGCCAGCTGCATCTCTTAAGCATGTTCAAGCTCCAAAAATCTAATTCCACAGCAAGGACTTCCAGCTCACTCGACATCTACACATGATAACAATGCCGATCACAGAAGAAGAGCTTAAAGGAATGCACATAGTTGGTTGCCAGACCTAAAGCTAACCAAATGTGTAACTGATAAGTAAACAAAACATGGGGGATTAACACACAGGTACATTGGAGAGGAGGAGACTGTAGGAGGTTAAGACACGTTGAGTAGTTGAGTAGGTATGTTAAGGTTTCAGTGGTGAATGTAAACCATGGGTTCAAGTGTCCGAACACACTGTCTTCAGTTAGTGCCACTGTTCTGGGGATTGTGGAACATTTTGGACATGTGCCCTAGCTTGTAGGTAAAGTCCACTAGGAATGGGCTCTCTGTCTCTCTCTCTATCTCTCTCCCTCTCTCCTGATATAACAAGATATAAAGGAGCCATGTTGCAGGCTCTTGCCACCTTGGACCAAGTTGCTTGCCCCTCTGGCTGGCTATGCTTTCCTTCCCAGGCCTGATAGACAGTATGCCTGAGCAGGGAGTCAAAGAAAACCTTTCTTCCCTTAAGTTGCTTCTGTTAGGTGTTTTGTCATCAAGACAACAAAATATTGCTAAAAGTTTAGCAACCATGGCTTTGGGGGAGGGGCAAACCTGCATTTCTGAGGTATGGTGTTCCTAAAACTCTACCCTTTCCAATCTCTGTCTTTTCTGTGTGTGCCACGGGGCTGGTGAAGGATTCGCTTTAATTGTGTGTGTTATACACCCCAATCCACCTCTTCTGCCTTCCTTCCTGGTCCTCATCACATCCTCCGCTTATTATTTCTCTGCACAGTGCTATCCTGGCCTCTCACCACCCATCAGCGCCAGGTCTCCTCTCACCCCTTCTCACCGGATGATTTCCAGCCCTTTTCCTCTTGTTTGACAGAAGTTTGTGGAGAGGGGAAAACAGTTGGAGATTTTATGCATAATCCATTAGGCCTCGTGGATCCCTGCACACTCCTCTTTTTCTCACATTACACTCTTAACCAAGAAAATAAAAATGGAAAACACTACACACCACACACACACACACACACAGAGAGAGAGAGAGAGAGAGAGAGAGAGAGAGAGAGAGAGAGAACTCCCAAGAAAATAGAACGGAAAAAATGCTCTAAATTCTTGCCTTTGCTTGAGTTTACATACAATGCAGAAGATAGGAAGAAAAGATTGTAAAACTCAGACTACCAGGAAGTCTGCTGTGGAACAGTCTGTCTTAGAACTGTCTGCATAAACACAACCTGAAAATGTCAATATCAATGGACATGACAACATAGGGGTGGGGGAATTTGAAGGTTCTCACTCTTAGACAAAAATCTTTAGGCATCTAATGACTTCTGGGAGAAAGAGAATTAGTCTCTCCCAGGGATGAGCCCCCTTTCTGGGCATACAGGGTAGAGTGGTTAGCTTTGAAACCATGTTCACATAAATAACAGCTGAACTAGAATCTATTTCAATTAAAAATGTCTTTTAGAAAAGAAGAAAGTTGCTAAATACAGAAAATTATTTTGTTCATTAAACTTTAATTTGGCTTTTACTTATTATTAGTAGCTATGAGACAACTAGCAAAACAATAACTACAGTAACAGTAGTCCGTAGCTGCTGTGTCTCCATATATGCTGGACCCTCAACAGTTTATGTTCATTTACTCATTTAGTCCTTACAGTAGGCCCTCAAGGGAAACATATAAGGAGAAACAGATACAGAAAATAAGCTCTCTTAGTCACAAAGCTGATAGGTGAAACAAATCCAGACGCCCAGGCATATAACTCTCTCCCTTACAGACTACAAAAGACGGCTACGGCAATTTCTAGTCTGTGCACGTGCTATGCATGTAGTTGGGCATTGCTTCCACAATTTAAGAGAATTGAGCATTCCCTTTTCTGAGATGTATATAAATCCCCTCATTATATTTATATTTTTTCTCTAGTAAATAACCTCACCAGTGAGCTGCATGTGCATGTCCCTCTATCCACACTGTATAGAGTTAGTATGTCAGAACTGATGTATCTAAGTAAAGGCAGAGTCAACTACATATTCCCCTCTGTGTTTGTTCAGTCTTGTTTGCCTCCCTTGGCGTCAACCAAAACCCTCCTTGGAATCTGCTGGGAGAGCTGCCATCAAAACTCTTCCTTGCCTTATGCTTCACTTTTGGCTATTAAAATCCCACCATTCTGCTGCCCTAAAAACACATACACCATCACCTTATCACAGGTACTTGAAGGGGAAGGCTGGTATGCCCTCTTCTCTGTGTCTCTGAGCAACATCACCACCTGTTTGGGAGTTATAAGAAACATTTCCACAGACAGTGTCAGGGCACCTATGTGCCTAACCAGAAGAGACAACTCATTTGACAACAGAAGATAAATAGTGAGAGTGGAGAAGCATCAATCTCTAGTTTTTAGTAATTACAACATCTAAAAAAAAAAAAAAAAAAAAAATTGAACACTTCTTTAATCTGTGCCACTTACTTTCACCCCAAAATATTACCCAATCAGCTCAAAATTAAAGCAAAAAATAAGCCAAGGGAACAAATTAGCCTTTTTAAAAAAGATATAGGTCTGTCTGTTCAGCAAGCTTTTGCTCCTAACCAATTGCCGTTTTGGTAACAAGTCAAATGACTACACGCATAAGACAACTAGAACTACAGTACAAACAGCCCTCTTTAAAAATGCTGCTAGCACCCAAAGTCCCACAGCTTGGCAAAGCATGAAGCCCTTTCCCTATTCCCAGAGAAAGAAGTTCAAGTACTTACAGTGTCGTGAGACTTATCCTTGACATCATAGACTGTCAGCTTTATTCTAGTCTCTTCATAGATGGGGTACTCAGATGGGAATGTGACACCCGTCAAGAACAGTGGGTCTTTTGTTCCCTGAAACAGTATAAGCAGAAAACTTGGATTCATTAAGGCAGCAACTGTAGCCGGCAGCACGCAGGAACAAATGGGAACACAGGGAGTGTGTCTCTGTCTGCTTTTCTAGAAAATAGTTCTATTAAAAGAGATCTGAAGAGCCAAGTGTTTCTTGTGGGTCATGAGCCCAGGGCCCCATTGTGCTGAGGCCTACTGACTAGATGAACTTGCATTTCTTTAAGTAGCTAAGAACTCTTGAAAAATACCTTGTTTATAAAAATTATATTCAGAACCTCTCTTTAGTTCAAGTTGCCAGCCCATTTAAAGCTATATACAAAATATAATAATTATACATTTATTATTTAGATAAATGATCTAAGATGCTGCCTCACCAAATTGAATGAAGCTGTCTTCGCAAACCATTGGGGTATACTCTGCTATCCTTTAAAAATGTTTGTGTTTTTTTTTTCCTTGTTCTGGTTCAACTGACAGCTCTCCTGAATAAATGTGTGTGGTTGCTTTTAGATGTTTAACAGACCAACTTGCAAACAAATGAGAACTTTAAGCATGATACATCAGAAAATAAAATTATTGCTTAGATTATGGTCCCCAAGACATTTCACTCTCTCAAAAGTTACTGTTAGAAAGATGATATCTAACATCACATTTTAGACACATACACACTATCAAATATATTTGAAAATGCTTTAAAAGTTCAATAAACCCCAGTCTACCAAAGTGTCTGAAAGCTTGTGGTAGTCATTCACTCATTCACGCATTCTTTCATTCTTTTCTTCAAAAGGAAACATGTTCTTTTTCTTGGTTCTATGTCAGACACATTTAAGACATCTAAAAAATGAAACATCTAAAAAAAAGTGTGTATATTCTACATAAAAGTCTTAAAGTGAACAACATAAATTGCTTTTAGATTGATTATAATAAATTTTAGGATGTGTGTGTTTTGTCACAGGAGAATAATGAGGGTATTGGGACAAAACTATAAGCACTCAGGTTACTTTAAAATTTGACAGTGTTCAAAAGAAAAAGTAACTAAGTTCCAATAATACCTGAAGTGTTTTCACTAAGAAAAGACTTGATAATATCAGTCAAGCTGCCTTTCTTTGAGAAAGACTACCTTTAATCTAACTACATGCTAACTATACATTAGACCATTGTTAGAACCTAAAGCCTCCAAAGGGCAGATTCAGGGGTGCATCCAGGGGGCTGCACCCCTGGATGTGGGGCTGGCTGCATGCAAGGGGGTAGAGTCCTATTCCATAGAGGTGGGAGATGCAGCAGTGCGTTCCGGGGGTCAGAGGAAGGAAGCAGAGTCAGGGCTAAACGCAGGGGAAAATGCAGGGCTACACACAGGATTTAGGTCAGTCTCATAATAGAAGGGGCTCCAGTGCAGTCTGATTCATCTATTCCACCCACTGCTTCAGGGCAGCCAGAGAGCTAAGCCAGCCAAGACTAGAGCAGACTGCCTAAGTTCCTGCAGAGACACTCCTCCTTCTGAACAGTGGAGGCTCACAAGCCTAAGACAGACAAGAGAGAAGCTGGAGGAGTTGAGTACATGCTCCAGGGCCCCAGATGTGCAAATAAGAATCTCTCCCTTGCTAAGGTCGTGAAGTGTGTCACCAGAACAGAATCATCTGAAGGGAAACATTTGCCTTGTTGAATCTGGGCCAGCACAATAATGAATTTCCTCCGATAGGCACTGAGAGTTGTATTAGCAACAATAAATGTAAATAGGAAACCTCCTGTCCCATGAGTAATATTTACACACCTTTTGCCTGGAAACATTACAGCTAATCAAGTTAATCACCTCCCTTTCTCTGGAAAACACTGTCCTTTGAAAGACACAGGTGGCAGAGATCTTAAGGTATTTACTGTTGGTCTGGACTGGGCCCAGGAAAAAAACAGTGTGAAAACCCCTTCACCTGTTTTGAACTTTGTGAGTACTTTATGCTTTTTCTTTCATTAAATGTGCTCATTCCATTTTATTTAAAATCAATATAGATAGATAATGTACATAGACACACACACACACACATATACATAAACAAATATTGTCTGGGAATTCAGAAGATTTCCGTGAAAGGAAACAAAAACCTTTTAAATTTTTTTCAATGTGCTTACTCTGCATGTGCTTAGAAACCTCAGATCTGTGCTCCTTAATGACAGACGAAAGCAATAGCAGGGCCACAGACCACAGGCTAACTCATGTCAGCTGTTCAGAGGGCGGGAGAGAGGGAGAGGTGGGGGGAGGAGAGGGCAGCGTGCACAGGACACTCAGAGACAACAGCTCACGGAGAGAAACGCATGTCCGACTCACCTCCACAATTTCTGTGCTGGAGTACCTCGTCAAGGTCCGCTCCACGGGGTGGATTACTGAGATCTGCACTACTGTATTCAGTTTCCGATCGCTGACAGGGGCCACAAGATCCTTGCACGCTGGCAGCAGCAGAGGAAAAAGAAAGAAAGAAAATATCTCACTCGATCTCTCAGGGCAAACTTCGGTCCAGAGCTGAAATAAACTTTGTCTAGCTGCTGAAGGAAATGTCCTGGTTCTCAGCTGGCTTCACAGAGGAAGTCTCTTGGAAGTACCTTACAGAAATAGGAAGTCACGTGCTGCCAGGCTGAATTGAGAGTTCATTTCCACTGACCACATTTGCAGCACAGTGCAAGTCTTGAGTGCGCTGAGATCCCCGCACCAGCGTGTGAGAATGTGTACACACACACACACACACACACACACACACACACACACACACACACAGCTCAGGGTCGGTGGGGGCTTCAGTTCGTCATTAACCCCTAGGCTTTCATTCACACTCTTGCATGAAGTAAGTTAATTTGGGCCACAGCCAGGACACTAAGATGACTCTTGTTGACACTGGCTCTGTTAGGGCAAATGTCTGAATGCACGCTTCACAATCCTCCCCTACCTGGCTGCTACAGTCTTCGACTCTGAGGAAACAGGAAGAGTGATTACCCCGCCACAGTGAAGGAGCTCAAGCCTAAGAGGAAGCAGGCTGGGGTTAAAGAACCCCCTGTCTGGAATTCAGGATCATTCAAGGAGGGAGCACCTCCGATAAGGACTGGGTAATTGTTGCCCAGGGGCCGCACATTCTAAACACTTTTCCTTGACACAGCCAGGCTCCTGTTACAGCGCCAGCCACTGCCCCATAGTCACTGGAGTATTTTCTCCTCTCACTTAGCATTCCCTAGTTTTGGAAAAGGAAAAAAATAAAGGGGAATAAAAAAATACTCCTTTCCAGTAGGTCTGTTATCTGCTCTCCTCCCTATATTTCCCCTATGATTTTGAAATAGTATTTTTACTTCTTGAAATTGACTAAGTGTGATAAAAAGTACCCTTGCTCAGCAGAGAGGGGTCAAACTGCTGGGCAGCCACTGGCTGCAGCTTCCGCTGGGGTAAAGGAGAAGCAGGCCTGGGAGTGTGTCATGGCCATGATGTCCTGGCCATCCCCACCCCACTCCACGACCAAGAAGACAGGCAGAGGAGGAGGGACTGTTTTCACTCTGGGGTGGAGCCTCTGCAATTTGCCAGGCCACTGGGAAAGGTAATACAGCTTAAATTTGAAACTTGGAAGCAAAGCAATTTATAGATGTAATTACCACCCTTCAATGGCCCACAGACCACCTTATTTATAGAAGCAGAATGGGAGAAGATACAGGCGCTTTAAAGGGGAACCAACAGCCAGACTGCTTTAGGTCCAGTCCTGATAACTCTGCAAAGCTGTGGGAAGCAGGAGGGGATTAACTTCTTAACTCCTTGCCAAACTTTGGGGTCCTTTTATTACTGTCTGGTATTTTGTGGTTAAATTTTCCTTACTGAAATCACATACTTAAGCAAAACACAAAAGCTAAGTAAACCATGGGTGGACAAAAATAGGCACAGCTTATTTAACCTTCACTATTCTAAGGCCTTCTGCTCATTACCTGCACTATTCAAAATGTATTAAAACTCCTTATTCCCATTTCTCTCTCTGGCATACTACTTGATCTCTTTCACAAAACTTATCAGCCTTTGGAAGACCCACTGCCATTATCATTTGTTATTTATCCTGATAAATCTACACTTGAAAAGAAGCAAACAAACAAGAAAATAATAAAGCACCTACACACAGTTTCAGTAACAGAATGTCACTGGAAAACTTTCCCTGGAAGATCCCTGCACACGGCTCTTGAGCGGTTATTTTGATCATTTCCTTTACTTGCCTTATGAATGTGTTTCATTTAAGCACTCTTGGTTTTCTATTCACTGTGAACATCTACTGAAGCTGAAAAGCATCTTTGGAGTTTACAGATAGAGGCTTTGGGTTTCAAACACACACGCCTCACCTACTCTCTTGTGGCAGCTTCACCCCTGCGTTACAAGCTCTTGACACCTTTGATCAAAATAAGTCACATCTCTTTTGAGTTCTTATCCGGCTTGACTGTGACTGTGGTTATTCCCAGAAGTGAGCAGCTATTCTGCTTCAGCCAAAAGCCTGTAAGTGCACTTGCCGCAAGAACAGACACCACATAAAACTGAAGGTTCTGTGAGTTCTTCAGATGCCCTGACAGTGAGCTAGGACGAGCACTGGTTTGTATTCCGTTACTGTTTATGTTCAAAACCAGGCACAGAGAACATGGCAACACTAGTTACATTGGAGGCTGTGCGCTCATCTCTTTTCTTTCTACCAGCCCACAGCATTTACTGTTTCTTAATACTAAGGCAGTCAGAGGCTCAGAGAAATCCTGCGATCAAACAGAATTCCTGAAATGTAGCCCAGGAGTTCCTGTTTTCCAGTTCTTTGGCACAGAGTAAACAAATCACAAACTACCATTCAATTGCCTCATCTGTCAGGGCAGAAAGAACATGAGTCTCTTATGAATGGACTTTTTACAAGTAAAACTAATGTTTAGTAATAATGTTATATTAATATTTAAGAGTATTTGATCTTCACTTTTATGTAAAATAAATTTTATGAACATAGTTCTACTCCAATGACAGAACTGTTACCAGATTGCATCTCTTTATATGTGCCAGTCTATGATACAGTACTTGTCATAAAGGGAAACAGATAAACATGGATCTGCAACTGCTCTGGAGGACTTGTGAAGGTTGAATCAGAGAGTACTGCACAGGTATGCTACTCCTGGGATTATTTAGTAGTCAATAAAGAACTGTGGTGGTTTGAGTGAGAATGGTCCCAATAGGCTCACATATTTGAATACTTGGTCCTTAATTGGTGGAACTGCTGGGGAAGAATTAACGGGTATAGCCTTATTGAAGGAGGTGTGTCACTGAGGTGAGCTGTGATATTTCAAAATATTTGTGTGATTCCCAAGGCTATCTCCTGTGTGTGGGTCAAGATATGAGCTCTCAGCTCTTTCTGTGTTCTACCATCACTGACTCTAACATTCTGAAAATACTAGTCAAATGAAATTCTTTCTTCTATAAATTGCTCTGGTCATGGTTTATTATCATAGCAAAGTGACTAAGACAAGAACACTTAAACATACTTACAAAATCATATCCATCTTCCAAAGCATCCTTACTCCTTCCTGTTACCACATGGGACTCTAATCCAGAAGTCCCCTCGATAAATGTTCTTCCTTAATGTATAACACTATAAGACTACAAAGTTTTGAATTCTTGCTTTTTTTTTTTAATTCTCCCCCCAAGCCTCACAAAAGCTCTATGGGTATATAGTGGTTGCTGGAGCAGAGAGAGACTATTTTTTAGTGGTATAGCCAAAAAACAACTTTCTAAAAAGAAACCCTAAATTAAACACACTAGATCACATATAAAAATTAATTAACTAATTAATTAATTAATGTAAAAGGGAAGTAATTGGGAAGAGGGATGGATTCAGTAGGAGACAAAAGAGTAATGGATGGTAAAAATATAATCAAACACATTATATACATACATGAAAATGTACAATGGAACTCATAGGTATAATTAATTTATGCTAATAAAATAAGAAAAATACCTAAAGATTAAATTGAAGCGTATCAGAGAATAATACGACTGTCTAATTCAAGGAGTTCTGAACAATGGATTTCAGTGTGAGAATAAGCATGTTGAGGTCTGGGGCTGAGGGAGGACAGGGGACGAGTTTCAAGGTAGCCTGTGTTCAAAGACAGTCCAAGCAACCACCTCCTGCTCTCTAAGGCCTCTTTCTTCTGTGAAGCTCAGTAATCTTTATTGCCTCAACACAATTCAATGGAAGTAGCAACTGGCAAAGTCTGCCCTCTTTCTCCAAGAACTAAGATGGAGAATAGATATGTGTGAATGGGTCAGGGGAGGGTACAATGACAAGCGCTTCCACACTTCTAAAATTCTCTAGTAAAAATTAGCCAGAGGAGATTGAGAAACATAGGAGACACTGCCTATATAATAAATATTTTGGCTATTAAAAATGAAGCTACATAGAAGATAGTTGAGCAAATGTGCTTGTTGTATGGTAGAACATCGTTTGGGTATATGCCCAGGAGAGGTATAGCTAAGTCTTGAGGTAGAATTATTCCCAATTTTCTGAGAATGCACCAGATTGATTTCCAAAGTGGTTGTACAAGTTTGCACCCTCACCAGCAATGAGAGTGCAAAATTCCCCTTTACCACATCCTCGACAACATGTACTGTCACTTGAGTGTTTGGTTTTAGCCATTCTGATGGATGTAAGATGGAATCTCAGAGTTACTTTGATTTGCATTTCTCTAATGACTTAGGATATTAGGCATTTCTTTAAGTGTTTCTTGGGCTAAGTTTAGGGAGTCTTATAGAAAAGAGGTGGGAAGAATAGACAGACCTGGAGGTGACAGGAACTCTGCAAGAAGACCAACAGAGCCTAGAAATCAGACCCAGAGGGGCTTATAAAGACTGAAGCACCAACCAAGGGTCATGCATGGACTGGACCTAGGCCTCCTACACAGATGTAGCTGATGGGAGGCTCGGGCTTTCTGTGTGTTCCCTAGTAAGGGGAGCAGGGGCTGTCTCTGACATGGACTCTGTTGCCTGCCTCTTAGTCACCCCCTCCGCCGGCAGGCCTGGCTCCACAAGTCACAGGGCAAGACTGGACTGATGTGACTCACGAGTTGGGTGGGGGAGGAACTACAGAGGGTGGGATGGGGAGTAGAGGACGGAGGGGTCTATTGAGATGTAAAGTGAATAAATAAATAAATAATTTAAAAAGATACTAAGACCCATGACCAAACCTGCGGCAGAGTTCAGGGAATCATATGAAAGAAGGGGAGTTTGGAAGACGTGGAAAGGACAGGAGCTCCACAAGACCAAATATATCTGGGCACAGGGTCTTTTCAGAGACTGACACTCCACCAAGGACCATGTATGGATATAACTAGAACCTCTGCTCGGATGTAGCCAGTGGTAGCTCAGTAACCAAGTGGGTGACCCTAGTAAGGGGAACAGGGACTTTCTG